AAACCGCACTTTTCTATGATGTATTCATCAAAAGTTATTAAAAAAACACTCACTAGCAAGTCATGTAACCACGACACATGCGAACAAAACAGATCTTATCGAAACTTTATTATTATTATATTAGCTAGTTGAAGTATAATCAAATAGCATAGAAAAATAGAGCATTCTTTTCTCTATCAGACTATATGCAAAGAAAGTCTCTTAAAGCTTTTTTTAAGGAATAAAAGTACTACTGCCACTACTTTTGGATTGCCCTAAGTATTAATCAACTTTCTTCAACTACATTGAAATATTCGTCTTATATATTCACGTTTCTTTGATATCCTTTTTTGATTTACATTATCGAACAAATTGATTATTATTCATAATATTTTTGTTTTTTTGTAATCGCTGTTCAAAAATTTTCCTGAGAATCGTTGTTTTGATCAAAGACTGTTAAACAAAACACTACACATGAGAATCTTTTCTAAGGAATATAAAATTAATGATATCTTTTGTACAATATTAGAGAAAAACCTCATCATTATCCGAACCCTTCAAATTATCTCATTGGTCTTATCGCCAAGATTAAATGATCCTCGCGGTAGTTTTATTGCAGTGCTACTTTCAAATAATGATTTCAATTTCAGTGCGTCACTCTTTTGAAAAATTCTATTTCGGAGAGACAAGTCAGTCAGTATATGTATAAGGTTAAAGAAGTTCAAAAGCTTTTTGACTAAAAAAACTAATTAACAGGAATTGTTAAGATATTATGTAATTGTAAATTATTTTGAATCCTAATGGTTCCGAAGAAATCTTGTCATCAAAGTTCTTAAAGGAAAAAATTTTTCCGGTTAAAAAATTCTTCAACTTTTCTAATGTGACGCTAAACTTTCTGCCTCTCTACAAAACTGTTAACTAGCCTTTTCATTCTACTTTGATTCCTTGCTAAGAAAGGTACTTTTATCAACAGCAGTAGAAAAACAATAAAAATTGACCTTGTGTTTAGGAATTTTGATCATCGTAGAATAAAAAATAAGAAAGAGAAATATGATATTCTGTAGCAACATAAGAAACTGAGTCAAAGAAAACAGATGCCATTACAAACTATCTTTCATCAAAATTTGATCTCTACTCTGTACTTGTTCTTTTTTTATTCATTTCGTCTGTAGTCCTCCCCAGGCGAAATCTCAATGAAAAATATTTTGCAATGACATCTATGTTTTTGACACAGTTTTTTATGTTGGTACAGAATATCACATTTCTTTTTCAATTTTTCATGATAAAATTTTCTAAACAAGAAGGCAGCTTATATTCTTTTGCCACTGATATTGAATAGATTATTTTTCTCAGCAAGAAATCGGAAGCAGTCTCAAAACGAAAAAAAAACGTTTCTACAGTTATCGAGAACGGAAAAACAGATATTTCATGATGAAAATTGAAGAGCCACTTTTCCAAGTAACTCCATGTGCTCTATCCGGCCATGCATAAAAAGGAGAAAAAACAATCGTGTAGAAATGTGAATTGCACATAACTCATTTGGGAAGAACAAACTTTTCACTTTTCGCTTTTATTTCTTTTTTATTCGCGACAAAAGAACGTGGGTATCACTTGATATTATTTGGTTTTTTTTGTACAGCTTGTGGCTTCTCACGTATGTCTTTCGTATGAAGCATCAAAACAAATAGCTCATCGAATGACGAGTAAGAAATTAGTGTATAGAAATGATTGAATTTATTGAAGTCAATGATCATCTGTTGTAGAGATGAAACATTTGCTTTAATTTTAAATTAAGTTGAGATTCGCTATTGAACCCTTATGATTGATAAAAAAACATCAGTAGCCACTAACGGATTTTTTAACATTAAATGTTAACGAACCACTATAGCGCTTTATATTAACTTTAAGTTTTCCTACTTATCCCTTACGTTAGTCATGTGAATTACGCATTGCCAAAGTCGAAGTCATTTTTTTCGATGAAAAATTTCCGCAGTAAAAAAAATTCATCGATAACATTTCTTGCACAATTACCAAAAATAGGCAAGTTTATCATTGAGTATGCATAGTCTCCCTGATATTTCTTCTGTTTCAATGGTAAAAATAAGAAGATATTTTGAAAAGTGAAAATCATTCTCTACGTGATCAAACAAATCGAATCTCTTTCCTCAAAATAATATATCCTCACATATTCACTAACAACACTTTCATCTTCAGTAAAATAAAATAAGATGAAAATATCAACTTTTATATTCAAAAAAGACGGATTACAATTTCAGTATATCACAATGACTACTTCTTCCCTATGATCAAGATGCTGTGAAACTGCAAACCAAACTTTTGAATATTTTACCAATAAAAAAAAAGTTGTATTTCAATTTGTATATTTTAACCAGTACACCTTATCGAACTATCCTCAAATCTAAAAAATTGAGCATATGGATAAAAGTCTGGAGCTACTGTTTGCATTAAGAGTAGGTCTGAGTCTTGATGTTCAAATTACCCACAACTTGTGCCCCTCTCCAGATAAATAGATGCATTCTAAATGTGCACTCTTAGTTTTTCATGTAAATTCTCCTATACAATCTGGATTAGTATTGATTTTCTTTAAACATTTTCGTTTATTCTTTCATTCAGAACAAAACAAATCAATTTAAGTTTATTCTAATAAAAGTCGATATTTCTCTAAAAGAAGACGTTGATTGAGTCACATTTACGTCACTTCTATTTGAATTACTTGTTATAGATTATACTTTTATATCTTCATAAGAAAAAAAAAGTAAACGGAGAAAAAACTACTCGTAGATATATATGTCCGAAAAAAATTAGTTGTAGTCCATATTTTAAATCTATTGTCACCATTAAAAGTACATTTAACACAGAATAGATAAATATTCTGAATCAATCAAATGCAATAAAAGTACCTTCATTAGCAAATTCCGATAAACTTGATATTTGTCATTGTTATCAAAATAGACATTTTAAAATTTTCATTATTTTGAAAATATCTTTGAGAAACAGTTATTACTTTTTGTAAGATAATCTACGATGCAATAGTATCCGTACAAATATCTGAGACCATTGCGCAGCAAGAGTGAATCATAGAAATCGGATTAACATGTCTTCTGAGAGAGTGAAATGAGCTCTTCTGAATGATGTATGACTTATTCACTCATAAATAACATTACGGATTTGTTATTTCAAAAGTGAACGAGAAGAAAATAAATGCAAATGTTTGAAATATTCAAATGATTCGTTCATTTATACTTTTCTGATATGAAATCGAACAAAATGAAAATAAAGATTGATGAATATATCATTGATCTTTGAAAGTTCTTTTCTGAGTATGTTTCTATCAGAGATATGCTCAATTACTTTTGTTTAAAAGATTTGACACTAGTAAATGTGTCTTTTTCGAAAGATCGTTCTTCCATCCCATCTATTCCACTTCGATGCAGATCACATATTGTTGAGTTATTCAATTTCACTCCACTTTTTTATCTGTTGTATCCATTGATCAATTTTCTCAACAATGAATCGCTGAAAAATTCTTCTTCGTGTGTCGTCTTATCTTCTTTTATTTTACTGTAAAATGCAGCTATTTGATTAAACAGTTGATGAAGTTAATTTTTTTTCATTGATTGAAAAATATTTCGTCTGAGCTACACGAATGTCGTTATGTTTGACAATGAATTGTCAACATATTCAATTTTTAGAGTGAATATGAAGATACAATGTGTTGAGTTTCGAATGAAGTAGAAGTAATACGGATTCGAATTTGAAGAGTCTTTTCTATTTGTCTAATATTCATGTCTCTTTTGAATTTCTAAGTGAAACACGATTCGGAAATGGAGGTGTTTGTTTCCTCATATATTTAGAATAGGTAGGGAAATGATTCTTTCCACCTTTCATAATTTGAAGTGCATTCGTATTCAACAGAGAAGAAATTTTATTTGAAAGAATCCGAGGAAAATCATAAAAAATTTTCTGATTTTCTCTTTTTAAGCTAATCTCAACAATGACATAACTTCAGAGTTCACATTTATCGAAAAGAAACGATTGTTTGATCTTTAACGACCAATTGATCGATACCTACTGAATATTGTTGAGTCATAGATTTTTGATAGTTGAATAAAAAGGGTTAACTTTTCTTTCTTTTCAAGGTGGCAATAAGTTAAAGAAATAAAAACGAAACATGACGAAGAAACTTTCTTTGAACGATAATTGTGTGATACTTTTTCGAAAATAAATAATCGTGTCAAATGTTTCAAAACTTTTGTAGTATCGCTCAAATTCTAAATGATCAGAGAAAATTAACAAAATTTTTCTGAACTAATTATTTTGTCACATGTCAAATATTCATCTGATTAATGACTATTTATTAGTGATGTTCTATTTTGATCATCAAGAAAATTTAGAAGTATTTTTTGATTAATTGGATTTAATTTATTAACAATAAATTCAAATAGCTGAATATTTTCAATATTAATCTTGTTTAATAAATGCAAATATAATAAGAAAACATTGAAGTTAATCATTTGACATAGTTGATGAAAGATAAGTTTCTCTTTCTTGAACTTTACTAATAATATCTAAACTCAATTCTTCATGATAAATTATTTGTTACAATTTACATAAACCATTCTATTGGAATTATTAAATCAATATTGCATCTCTTAATAATATATAAAGTTCTGATAAATGTTTAGCTGTTTCTCTATGGGCTTCACAACCTGTTCTAAAACATAATATTTCACGTTAAACTTGATATTCATTAAGAGACTTTTCAATTATAATTTGATGATTATGAAAATTGTTTAATATTGTTAATAATTTTTGTCAATCATTTGTTCAATTTTCTTTTGTTTCAAGTATATCAATTAATTTTTCTAAAAAATTTATTTTATTCGAAACAGAAAAAAATTTTTTTTTTTTCTATATAACTTAGTCGTCGTTGAAAGTTTTTAGTTAATCAAATTTAATGATTTCGTTGATTTGAACGAACTTGTTGAATAAGATTACTTTGACATTTTAATTTAACAAGACGAAGCCAAAGATGATTTTCAATTGTATTTAAACTTAAACTCATATCAATTATATGACTTTTTAAAGGAACATCTTTCTGTTGTAAATTTATTAGAAAAAAAAAAAGAAAAAGTTTAAATTGATAAAATTTATGTTTGAATGCATACACATTCGATCAATTTGACGAAAAGTAAAAATAAAATGAAATGATGAATTAATAAAGATTTCTTGATCACCAAAATGATATAAATTTGGAAATGTTAACGGATATTGTTCTCGTCTTGACAACCAACAAAGAAATCGACGGGAAAATGGGTTTAATTTTAAAAAATCATGTTCATCAATTATAACAATCACACCTATAAATAAACATTTTTCAAATAAAATACTTTATAAAATATTCTACAAGTCATTATACTATATTAAACTTGTACAATTCTGCTATACATACTATTTTATAAGAGAAACGATTTTCTACTAAAGCAACATAATTCGATGATCTTGTCCTACAAGCAATGCTATTCAACGGATAAACAGTAGGTTAAGACTATCATGATAGAGGTTAACATTGCGTAGCTTCCAAATTGATACCGAAAATTAAGCCAATTAAGAAAAAAACGGTAGCAATTTGGAATGAATAATTTTACGATGATTTCATTTTTTATTCGATTCCAAATT